TTGCGTGTTAGAAGCTGCCCTCTGGTGGTGGTGGTAATTGTAGCGAACATGATAATCCTCTCATTGTGTATCCAGTTGTCTTCTGCATATTTTACCTATGTAAACCCTCTCATCTTCATAGCAAAGTAGGCACTATTATTAACCCCATATTACAGATGAAGAGACTGAGGCACAGAGCAGGTGCATACCTGGCCAAAGACTCACAGCTTGTAAGTAAGCTATAAACCCAGTCTCCAGAACCCATGCTGTTAGCCTCCAGGCCGTCCTGCTCTGCTGCTGTTGCTGATAAAACTACAGATAGTAGCAGTAATGGTGGTGGAAACTTACATGGGCCTTACCATGCACCAGGCTCCGTTCTAAGTGCTCTACATGCATTAACGGATATTCCTTGTAACAACCCCAAGAAGCAGGTTCCATCACTGTGTGTTACGGATAAAAAGCCTCAGGCACACAAAAACTGACCGTCTTTTTGAAAGTTACAGCTGTTATGTTTTATCTTTTTGTTGCTTTTACCTCTTAAATTTTTGTTGCCTGTGCACTCGATCTGTCCATGGAAGTGCATCACTTGTGTATGGAGAGTGACCAAAAATACTGAGAATTCCTCTCATTGGAACTCAGTGGTCCCACTCACTCCTGGTTCTCCTTATAATATCTGACATTTCCTTCTAAATCTTCTGTCTTCATAACCTTCTCTTCCTCTGCTTCTTCATTACAGTTGGCATTGCTCAGGTGTTCAACCTTGGCTTGCTCTTCTTCTCACTAGACATGCTTTCTCAAGTGGTCTTATTCAGAGTTTTCCTCTATCACTCTGACTTTATAGAGTGCATATTTACACACCCAGCTGCTTTCTGGCAGCTACACATGGATGTTCCACTGGCATCTTAAAACTCAGCGAGTTCAAAAGCAAATTAATTTTCTTTTCTCTGAAAAATACTCTTCTTCCTGTGTGCTTCATCCCAAAACCTCCAAAGCTATGAACCCAGTCAGCATCCTTCTTTCCCCTCCCTCCTTCACACAATAATGCACATTAGAATCACTGTTTTAATCTTTTTTGTGTCTTATACCTGGAGATTACTTTTCAAAATGACTAGGATGAAAGCCTTTGCACGTAGACTCTGAAAAGCCTCCTCAATTAACAAACTGAAGAATGACAATTATATGATCATTTTAATAGATGAAGGAAAAGCTTTTGACAGAATTCAACTTCTATTTACAATAAGAACTCTCCACAAAGTGGATATAGAGGGAATATACCTCCACAAAACAAAATCTCTGCAGGATAAGCCCACAGCAAACATCACACTCCCTGGTGAAAAGCAAGAAACATTTTCTCTAAGGTCAGGAGCAAGACAAGGATGTCCATCTTGCCACTTTTATTCACCATAGTTTTGGAAGTCCTAGCCACAGCAATCAGACAAGGAAAAGAAATAAAAGGAATCCAAACTGGAATGGGAGAAGTAAAACTGTCACTGTTTGGAAATAACATGATACTATATATAAAAATTTCTAAAAACACCGCCAAAAAACTACAAGAACTAATAAATGAATTTAGTAAAGGTAAAGGGTACAAAATTTAATAGAGTAGTCCCCCACATATTAATGTGAACCTTCAGGTTGCATGCTTTCAATGATGCGACCATTGTCCACATATCCAGTCACATAAGTCGGCTCATGTGTCTGGCGCACATTGTCACTCGTGTGCATTCTCTACAGCGCTGTGCTTTAGTGTGCTTTACAGTTGTGAAGAGCACAGTGGGAGAGTGTCTTTACTTCAAGCTCAGGATGTCTGAACACAAGTGCAAAACAGCGGTAAAAAGCCGATTGTGTTAGTTGGGTACCTGGACTATCTTTGTTGGACTTAGGACCAAATTGGACTTATGAATGTGCTCTCAGAGCAGAGCTTGATTGTATATAGGGGACTTACTGTACACAGAAATCTGCAGCATTTCCATACACTGATAATGATTATGTGAAAGAAAAATTAAGAAAATGATCCATTTACAATTGCATCAAGAAAAATATACCTGGGAATAAATTTAACCAAGGAGGGGCAAGACCTGAAAACTCTAAGATGTTGATGAAAGAAGTTGAAGACAAGACAAATAAATGGAAAGACATACCATGCCTATGGATTGGAAGAATTAATGTTGCTAAAATGTCCATACTTCCCAAGGTAATCTGCATAGTCGCTAACAAAATACCAGTGGAATTTTTCACAAAACTGGAATAAATTCTAAAATTTTTATGGAACCACAAACAACCCCAAAAGCCAAAGCAATCTTGAGAAAGGACAAAGCTGAAGATATCACATTCCCTGACTTCAGACTACACTACAAAGAAACAGTAATCAAAATGATTGGTACTGGCAGGAAAACAGACTCATGTATGACTGGAACAAAATAGAAAGTCCAGAAATAGATTCACACTTACATGGTCAATTAATATATGTCAAAGAAATCAATAATATATGGTGGGGGAAAGACAGCCACTTCAATAAATGCTTTTGGGGAAACTGGACAGCCACATGCAAAACAATGACACTGGACTATTTTCTTATACCATATTCAGAGGTAAAGTTGTTAAAGACTCAAATGTAAGACCTGAAACCACAAAATACCTACAGGAAAACATAGGCAGTATATTTTTTTTCATCTTAGGCCCTAGGGATATCTTTTTAGATATGTTTCCTCAGGCAAGGGTAAGAAAAGCAAAAATAAACAAATGGGACTGTCAAACAAAAAAAAGCATTTGTACAGCCAAAGAACCATCAAAATGAAAGGGCAGCCTGCTGTATAGGAGAAGATGATTTGTGAATAATATACTGGATGAAGGCTTAATATTGAAGTTATATCAAGAAATCTTATAGCCTAATATTAAAAAGAACAAACAATCCAATTAAAAACTGCAGAGGACCTGAACAGTCATTTCTCCAAAGGACAAAAACATAGCCAACAAACACATGATAAAGGTTCTCAACATCACTAATCATCAGGAAAACACAAATCAAAACCAATGCACTATCACCTAACTTCTGTTAGAATGACCATTATCAAAAAGACAAGAAATAACTATTGGCGAGGAGAATGTGGAGAAAACAGAACCCTCATTCACTGTTGCTGGGCATGTAAATTCATGCAGCTACTGTAGAGAACAGTATAATGATTCCTCAAAAAATTGAAAATAGAAATATCATCAGTCCAGTTCAGTTGCTCAGTCGTGTCTGACTCTTTGCGACCGACCCCATGGACTTCAGCACACCAGGCCTCCCTTTCTATCACCAACTCCCGGAGTTTACTCAAACTCATGTCCACTGAGTCGGTGATGCCATCCAGCCATCTCATCCTCTGTCATCCCCTTCTCCTCCTGCCCCCAATCTTTCCCAGCATCAGGGTCTTTTCCAATGAGTCAGCTCTTTGCATCAGGTGGCCAAAGTATTGGAGTTTCAGCTTCAGCATCAGTACTTCCAATGAATATTCAGGACTAATTTCCTTTAGAATTGAATGTTTGGATCTCCTTGTAGTCCGAGGGACTCTCAAGAGTCTTCTCCAACACCACAGTTCAAAAGCATCAATTCTTTGGCGCTCAGCTTTCTTTATAGTCCAACTCTCACATCCATACATGACTACTGGAAAAACCATAGCTTTGACTAGATGGACCTTTGTTGGCAAAGCAATGTCTCTGCTTTTTAATATGCTGTCTAGGTTGGTCATAACTTTCCTTCCAAGCAGTAAGCGTGTTTTAATTTCATGGCTGCAATCACCATCTGCAGTGATTTTGGAGCCCTAAAAAATTAAGTCTGACATTGTTTCCACTGTTTCCCCATCTATTTGCCATGAAGTGATGGGACCAGAGGCCATGATCTTAGTTTTCTGAATGTTAAGTTTTAAAGCCAACTTTTTCACTCTCTCCTTTCACTTTTATCAGGAAGCTCTTTAGTTCTTCTTTACTTTCTGGCGTAAGGGTGGTGTCATCTGCATATCTGAGGTCATTAATATTTCTTCAGGCAATCTTGATTCCAGCTCGTGCTTCATCCAGTCCAGGGTTTCTCATGATGTACTCTGCATATAAGTTAAATAAGCAGGGTGACAGCATACAGCCTTGACATACTCCTTTCCCTATTTGGAACCAGTTCTGAGCTCCAGTTCTGGGTATTTATACCATTAAAAATGCTAATTGAAAATGATGTATATACCCCTTTGTTTGTTGAAGCCTAATTTATAAATAGTCAAGATTTGGAAGTAACCTGGGTATCAACCAATAGATGAATGGATAAAGAAGACATGTTTTACATATACATGTGTGTGTATACCTGTTTTGTATATATATATACACACACACACACACACATTTCACCTACACACACACTGGAATGTTCTTCAGCCATGGAGAAAGGAAAGGTTCCTACTTGCAGCAGCACAAATGGACCTGGAGGGTATTATGCTAAGTGGAATATGTCAGACGAGAAAGACCAATGTTGTATGACTGTCAGTTATGTGTGGAATCCAAAAAGCAAAACAAATGATTAAACAAAACAGAAAAGATACATTGATACAGAGAATAAGCTTGTGGTTGCTGGGGTAGAGGTGCAGGGATGGTTGAAAAAGGAATGTGGACAAGAGGTATAATCTTGCATTTAATATAAAATAAGTAATAGGGTTTAATATACAGCATGAGGAATATACTCAGTAATATTGTAATAGCTTTGTATGGTCACAGATAGTTACTAGACTCACCATGGTATTCATCCAATAATGTATTTAAGTGTTGAATCACTGTTGTGTACCTGAAACTAACATAATGTTGTACATCAACTATAATATTTTTAATTTCTTTTTATAATCCCCTAAAGTGAAGCCTTAATGATAGACTTCTTTTGACAGCATTAGATGCTGACATTTGTCAGTTATCATGGTTAACAGGATTTCCTAAAACAATTTGTAACTGTTTTAATGCACCATTAGCAGTGTGACATTCTGAACACTGTCTGTCTTTAATTTCAGCCTGTGAAGTTGAAGCGGGGAAAGTTTACCAAGTGTCCTCAGAAGAGCACATCCAGCCTTTCAAAGAAAACATGGAACAATTTATTATTCAAGGTAAATTCTGAAAAGATGCTGCACTTCCCTCCCTGCTCAGCAGAAAGGTAGAAGGCATTTTAAAAAATAGGTATTGGTTTAAAAGGAGTTATTTTAACATCACAGAAAAATAAATAATGTTGTATCATAAATCACACAGTTGTGACAGACGAGCAATTAGCTAAATATGCTGTTTTGTGGATAATATTCATTATTACTGTTTTTTAATGACAGTAAATACAGTAGTTATTAGTTAAAATGGCATATACTTATAAAGGCATTACAATTTTTATGCTTTTTGTAATAGAAAGTTAGATATTCTTTAAAGTTTTATCTACACATACAACTTCAGTTCAACTTGGTATTTGCTTTATCAAAACATTGTGCTACAAAACAAAGTACACTGATGATTTTCTGATCTTTAAAATATTATATTCTATTTTTATAGGATGTATAAATAATCCTGGATATTTAACACCTTTTCCCCAAGGATCATAAAAACTTTATAAATATTATGTTCTTGATTCTTCCTATATTCCTATGAAATAAGCAGCAGTGGAAAATTTCAAGCAGTATTAAAGGAACAAAAAAAAATTTAATAGGAGAAATTTATTAATCTATTGCTGTTTGAAATCCTTGAAACATGATTATATCAAAGGACTCACTACTCCACACATTTCTGCTTTGGAATATTGCATATCTTCTGAAGATCAGATCTGTATGAAGCTGTGCTCTGGGGAGGCTCTCCTAGTTCAGGAATTCTCCAGAGACTGTTGTGGCCTGTGACTGAAGCCAAGCAGTGCTCTGAAGACTGGCTTCATCTTCTGTCATTTTACAGGTTGTTCAGGTGGCTGTAAAGATGATAACATAGTGAATGAGTTATACCGGAATTTGATTAAACATTAAGCACAGCTCTTTTTTAAATGAGACAATGCCATTTAATCATTTAAATTAATTGTGATCTTAGAAACAGAAGTTTGGTCCATCATATATCAAAGTGGTTGTCATTTTCATATCCTCAGGGCCTCATAGCTGAGACTAGAACATCTGCTCACTGATTCCTAAATAGTCCTTGACTGAAATCCATGTTCTGTAGGATCCTGTCCACTCAACTCCACTCTTAATGGTGAAGGAAAGTGAATCTTGGTTTTTTGTCCAGTGGGCCTTTAGGATCAAGAGCTGTGATTTTATGGAATATTCTTTTTTGCTTATGGGTAAAAAGGAGTCCTTAACTCTATAACTCATTAAAAAAGAAGTCAAACAATTTGCTAGATTTCACATCTAAAACATTAATCAGTGTGTGATTCATATAGTTGGTCACATCATATGTGATTATATTATATAATATTCTGAATCTGTATTTTGTAGACCAAGTGCTGAATTTTTCTTTTGACTCCATCTTTTTGAATGAAGAGCAAAATTGTGTTTTTGTGACCCAGATACAATTTAGAAATTGTGCTTATAAATCATACATGATCAGCCATATCTAATCCTTCAAAATCATTATGATGATTCCAAGGTTGTGTGAGACCCTCAGAATTTGCCCAGTAGTTCACTTGGGTGGGAGACTGTATCCCTTCAGACTAAATGGATAGGTATCTATTCATGTTTTACTGGTCTTCTGTAATTGTATCCCCTTTATTATGAAATTCAGGTGTTAGTAATTCTGCTTCTCCATGACTTCACGGTCAAAGAAACAATGACTCTTGTAAAGATAATACCTTTTTATCCTTATAGGTGTGAAATACTTCACCTTACTACCATTCGGTTAATCCTCATTGAGTTGGACATGACTGCGCAACTTTCACTTTCACTTTTGGGCTTCCCTAGTGGTCAACTGGTAAAGAATCTGCCTGCAGTGTGGGAGACCTGGTTCCGTCCCTGGGTTAGGAAGATCCTCTGGAGAAGAGAATGGCTGCCCCCTCCAGTATTCTGGCCTGGAGAATTCCATGGACTATACAGTCCCATGGGGTCACAGAGTCAGACATGACTGAGTGGCTTTCACTTTCAGTCCTAATTATGTGACTCTTTTCTTCTTGTCTCTTCGTCAGGCACCTTCAGTTAGCCTTTTATTTCTTCTCTGGTTCTCTTCACGTGTTCTATGATTTTAAAAAAATTTTGAACACCTATTTGCCCAAACATTCTTTGGGGCACTGAGTCACAGCAGTGAATAAGAAAATGTTTGTGTCTTAGTGGGCATCACATTGTATGTTATCTGGAAGATGACAACAGCAAGTCCTTAGGAAAAACTTATACAGATCAAATGTGTCTAAAATGTGGAAAAAGACAAAGTCTAGCTTTAAACACGATTGCTCATGAGCCTGTGTTCAAGGACATATAGTGAAAAAATGAATTTCAAAATACAGTTCTCTAAGAATATGGCCAATTTTGGATTCCATATTTTTTCTAGTTATCAGGACAAAATTCTAAAATTAAATCTATACACTAAAAATGTGTTCCATTATATATGCCAAATCTTTGTTTATAATTAGGCCTTCTTCAGTAATAAAACCATTTTCTTATATTAACCTATGTGCTCAGGTTCCTTTACATGGGTATATTCTTTTTTTTTTTTAATAGTCCATTAAAGGCTTTTCAATGTGCTTCATTTTCTAAAGCTAAAGTCTCTCAGACAACCCAAGAGCCTATATCCAGTGCTAACCAAACATTTTAATTGCATTAGCTCTCACAGTATAATAGAGACCTCTCTTAAGCGTACTCAAAGAGCCTCTGAGTCCATCTGGTCCAGTTATCCATTGATCCACCCCCATTTGCACTCCCCATCTTTCCAGTTCTACTCAAGACAAAACTTCATGGCCTTTACTTAAACACCTCTTTGGGGGTGTCCCTTACCTCTGCTCTGAAATAGACAAATTTAGAGAGTTGAGTCCTGCTGCCATAAAGCAGATATTGACTGTAATGGTGCCAGCTAAGTACCATCCCTTATGTAGCGTGAATAAATAATATTCAGTTATTTATTATACAAATACTGTTCTGAGCACACACACTCCCCCACAGTTTTATATTCCTTGTGACATTTAACCATTCTCTGAGATTGTATCATTTATTTGTCCCCAAACAGTGTAAGGTCCATAAAGAGAGCACTTTGCTCTGCTTCTTGCTGTGTCCCTACACCTAGAAAAATGCCCAGAGTGTAGTATACACCATCCTGCTCACCAGACAAAAGCCCGACAGCCCTCATTAAGCCTATATTCATACCAGGGTAGCTCAACGTTTGTTTCTTGACAGGATGGCTGTCCTTATACAACACTAACTGCTGTCACCTTAGTCATGCCAGAGACCTGCTGCTGGAATTCACTTCTTAGCAGTACTATAATATTTCCCTTGCAAAGTTAGTTTTCTCAGTTTCTGAGATTTGTTTCTCTCTTCTCTTGAACCTCTATAATCTTTCTGTTCACTTACCTATTGCTTTAATGATAATCTCACTTCATCAACATTCAAAAAACTAAGATCATGGCATTCAGTTCCATCACTTCATGGCAAATAGATGGGGAAAAAATGGAAACAGTGACAGCTTTTATTTTCCTGGGCTCCAAAATCACTGCAGATGGTGACTGCAGCCACAAAATTAAAATACGCTTGCTCCTTGGGAAAAAAAGCTTATGACAAACCTAGACATCCACCAGACATGGAAAAATGGACTGGTTCCAGATTGGGAAAGGAGTACCTCAAGGCTATATATTGTCACCCTGCTTATTTGACTTATATGCAGAGTACATCATGTGAAGTGCTGGGCTAGCTGAAGCAGAAGCTGGAATCAAGATTGCCGGGAGAAATATCAATAACATCAGATATGCAGATGACACCACCCTTATGGCAGAAAGCGAAGAGGAACTGAAGAGCCTCTTGATGAAAGTGAAAGAGGAGAGTGAAAAAGCTGGCTTAAAACTCATCATTCAAAAAATGAAAATCATGGCATATAGTCCCATCACTTCATGGCAAATAGATGGGGAAACAGTGGAAACAGTGACAGACTTCATTTTCTTGGGCTTCAAAGTCACTGCCGATTTTGACTGCAGCCATGAAATTAAGCAATGCTTGGCTATGACCAATGTAAGCAGCATATTAAAAAGCAGAGACATTACTTTGCCGACAAAGGTCTGTCTAGTCAGAGCTGTAGTTTTTGCAATAGTCGTGTATGGATGTGAGAGTTGGACTATAAAAAAAAAAACAAAAAACTGAGCACTGAAGAGTTGATGCTTTTGGATTGTGGTGTTGGAGAAAACTGTTGAGAGTCCCTTGGACTGCAAGGAGATCCAACCAGTCAATCCTAAAGGAAATCAGTCCTGAATATCCATTGGAAGGACTGATGCTTAAGCTGAAGCTCCAATACTTTAGCCACATGATGCGAAGAACTGACTCATTGGGAAAGACCCTGATGCTGGGAAAGATTGAAGGCAGTAGGAGAAGGGGAGGGCAGAGGATGAGATGGTTGGATGGCATCACCAATTTGATGGACATGAGTTTGAGTAAACTCCAGGAGTTGGTGATGGACAGGGAGGCCTGGCATACTGGAGTCCATGGGGTTGCAAAGAGTTGGATATGACTGGCTGAACTGAACTGAGACATCGTATTAGAAAACTGAGACATCACTTTGCCAACAAAGGTCCCTATAGTCTAAGCTATGGTTATTCCAGCAGTCATGTACAGATGTGAGAGTTGGACCATAAGGAAGGCAGAGTAAAGACCATAAAGATTGAGGGCAGGAGGAGAAGGAGGCAACAGAGGATGAGATAGTTGGGTGGCATCACCCACTCAATGGACATGAGTTTGAGCAAACTCCAGGAGATAGCAGTTCATGGGTTCGCAAAGAGTCAGACATGATTTAGCAACTGAACAACAACATACTCTGGTGAGAAAACAGACTCTGTTGTAAAGCTTCTCCCACACCCACCCATCACTGCGTCTGCAAACCTGGCTGAGGACCTTAGGCTTTGCCTTGAATTTGGGGAAGCAGAGACTTAAGGATTTAAGAGAGGGTACACTGACAGCCGGTCATG